ATGTTATATAATATTTCATTCTAATTTGTGTAGGGCATGACAATTTGGTTGTTGAATCTACTCGTTGTTGTGGAGGTGTAGATTTGATATCTTTCATGAGATTTTGTGAATCATGGAATTTGCGGTTGTTTGAGATTGTGGTTTGTAATATGATTGTTATTTTGAATTGTATTATGACTTGTAATATGGTTGTTGGTGGAATTTGGATATTTTGGATTGTAGTTTGTACTTTATAATATGATGTGGTATGATATCTCTAAATATCACATTTATTTGTGTTAGTTTGTTAGTTTTATAAACTTATATAGCATTTTTAAATAAACAGGTAAATGGTTAAATGGGTGGCTTAACGTGTTAAATGAGTCAAACGGGTGGTAAATAGGTAAATGGGTTTAACGGGTGGTAAACAAGTAAATGAGTCAAACAAGTGGTTTATCGTGTTAACTCGACCCAAGCTAATCCGACTCGTTTAAAATTAAACGTGTTAAACGAGTCGTGTCGTGTTACCCGATTATTAAACAGTTTGTGTTTCGATTTTTTATCCGTTTATTAAACGTGTTGTGTACGATTTTACATGTTTTTCACCTGTCACCTGTTTAACCTGACACTTAACCATTTAACCCCGACACGTTTGACACCCTTACACACTAGTGTTTAGCCATAGACACTAGTATGTGGCATTATCCAGATGCATATCTTTTGATCGTATAAGTGTTTTCTTCTTGAAGATGGGTTGAATTGCACATCAAACATCACATAACTTGAAGTTTTGTTATAGGACTTCCAATTCAATTGCAAACAAATGGCACTATTTAGTTACAAATTTGCTCATATCAAATACACATTTGATTAAAATAATCACATTAAATTTACGTTATAATTCAATATTTTGTAGGATTGGTGTGAATTGACTAAAGATATGAAAAGAATAAATAGAATGCAACTACATCGATGGGGATATCATAATAAGGTAACTTGATTCTTGCACTAGTGCAAAGAACTATAATTTTTACAAGTAATATATTCCACTAAGATTTAATTTTCTTTCTTTCTGTAAAACTAGGTTGTTGTGCATTCTCCCAACTTGTGGTTTCGCTTATGTATTGACATAAGAACATTCAGGAAAGTGATAAAAAGAAAGTTCAATGAACTATTGGAAGAATGATCCTTAATGGGTAAAAGGATTGGAGTTGGTTATTCCGTGAAGTTAAATTATATGTTTGATTCTGAAATATTTAATAGTAAACCTAACACTTAATTATGACTGTTGTGATGGTAAATAATTATGTGTAGTCTATACTATAATGTGATGGTGATTTGAATAATTATTCTATGAATTGCATAAGAATTTGGTATGTTGGTCGGCATCTTGATTTTAAGGCAGCTTCGCATTACTAGTCATTATTCCAATTTTTCTGTTGGTGTGTTATTATTTTTATTAGATCATATGGGTGAGAAAAAATTAATTTGTTTGTTGTAATGCTATTACTTCGTTGCTAATTTGATTATAACAATTTTAATTTGTATCTTTTATATTATGTACAAATATAATGGCATGACCTCCTATCTATGTACTTCTTATTACGCATGTGGCCCTATTAAGTATACAAGAAAATTTTGAAAATGAATCATTTGAAGATGGAACCCCAATATCGAAGTTTGGGATGAAAAAGTTGAATTGGGTCGTATGCTACAGATGGCAGGAAAAAATATTAGTGATAATTATATTATGCATAAAATAATAGAGACTCTTCCCACAACTAGGAATTTTGCAAAAGAAAAAAAATTTCTAGACTACCAACTAACAAATGCAGCACGGTTTATACAATTACTAGTCATAACCCGTGCCTGAAGGCACGACAAAATATAAAATTTGAGCGCCCAAAAAATTGATCCCAATATATTAAAATTTTTCAACATGTGTAAATGATTAAACATATGATAGAAATTGTGACAAATTCGTTGATGCCAAATTCTTTGGTGATTAAAATTTTTAACTACAAATAAATTAAATATTAAATGATTAAACTTATGATAGAAATGAGTAATGTGATATTTTTATGGGAAAAATATATAAATGATTAAACATGTGATAGAATTGAGTGATATGATATTTTTAGGGGGAAAATATGTAGGGGATAAAAATTCATGTTGCTATGTGTCCAAACAATCCAATAATGTTGTATATTGTTGTTAATACGTTATCACCTACATGGCCGATTAACATAATTTATCAGAAGTTTGAGAATGGATTTATAGATATGATAGAATTGAAGGAGATATTAAACTGACATAATCTGTTCACGAGTATTAGAAGAAGTGGAGGCCCAACTGATAAACAATAAACATTACATACCCAAATGAAGTGATAATTTTTAGATAAAAATGTTTAATCTATATTTTTATTATTTGAACGTGGATAAAGGAAAAAATATAAGTTTTTAGAGATTAAGAAAAACATCTAACTATAAATTTTTTTAGGTCATATACATTCTTTTGGAAGTTGGTGAAATTTCTGATAGTTGTATTTGGTCATTTGACAACATCTGCACAATTACTTTGTTTGTGGGAATATTGTTGTAATTTTCATTTCATTAGTTATGCATTCTATTATCATTTTATTAGTAGTAGTATTGGTGAACATTTTTTTTTAATTTTAGATAAAGTTGATTATAGATGTTGAAATCGTGGATGTTGAATCAACAAACAGTGTATTGAACATTGTCAACCGACATATTTTTTCAGATTTGATTTATTATGTTCTAGTAGTTATAACATAACTTTCGTTGCATAAAAATTTGTATTTATATATGCTATACATGTATTTTGATGTCGGTCAAATGATAGGTTTTTAGAATGTATTTTATTGGAATTGTGAAAAATATTAGTGGATTCATTTTCTTCGTCGTTTGCTAAAATGTTGTGTTATACCTTGCATTTGTGTATGGACTAATATTTGTAACATATGAGTTATAACGTGCCTTCAAGCACGAGTAATTTCTATTACTTATATATTAGAAGAATTTAACTATGCGGATTACAATCTATATAACCTTAATGTATTAATTGACTAGCGATAGCCCATGTCTGAAGGTACTGCACAATTCAAAAAATTGAACATTAATCATGGAGATAAAAAAAATCAAGCATTGAACATAAAAAAAAATAGAACATTTAAGACCATTTGATGAACTTATATATCATAAATTATATAGATATATGAATGGTGTTGAGACGAATGATGGTGACTGTTAGATGAGTTTATTCGAGACCGCCGCATGAACTTATTGAATCATGTTCTATTTTATATTATAGATATTGGCGCCAATATAAATAAATGTAAATAGAATGTGTTACCTCCAAAAAAAATATATGAGCATGAAACACCCTATGCTAGCTAAAGGTATAGATGACAATGAAAAATTAATCCATTGCATCTTCAATTTTCATTAATCTCTTAATCATGAATTTAAGTGATATATGACATATAGAGGTGACAATCTCAACCCATTATTCATTAATCTGTCCAACTAGTTCATAAATAAATGGATGGATACCTATATTAATTAATATGAGTTCTAAATGAGTTAGGTAACATGATTCATTTTAATTACATAGGTTAATATGGATTATAAATGAGTACTCATTGAGTTAAGTATTATCTTTTTATTAAATTAAAAAATTCATAAAATTAAATAAATATACTAATATACCAAAAAATATATATACACTATTACACCAAAAAATACATACATATACACTAGTACACCAAAACATGCACATACTAGTACATCAAAAACACACATTAATACATCATTCATGGGCCACGGGTCGACCCATGACCTATGGATTGACCCGAGACCCACTAGTCATGGTTTGACCCATAACCCATGGGTCGACCCATGACCTATGGACCAGCACATAGCCCATAATCGACCTGACGCATTATGTGTGTGTGTGTGTTTTTTTTTTTATTAATGTGTTTTAGTTTTTGTGTTATCATATGTGTGTGTATTTTTAGTGTATTAGTGTGTATTTTAGTGTATTAGTGAGTATATTTTTAGTGTATTAGTTTGTGTGTATTTTGGTGTATTAGTGTGTGTTTGTATGTTTGTATTTTGGTGTATTACTAATGTGTGTGTGTATTTTGGTGTATTACTAATGTGTGTGTGTATTTTGGTGTACTAATGTGTTTATTAAGAATTTTAATTTTTTATAGGTTAATCGGTTTAACCCAACCCATTATAAATCTAACTTATAATAACCCATTTACTACGTGAGTAAAAAATGAATTAGATTTATTTTAACTCAATCTAATTTAATCCAACCTATAACCAACCTAACCTACCCATTTGCCACCTCTAATGACATATAGTAACCTCATGAAATTTGTGAATTACAATTTTTTTTTTCATTGTGTATCTTATTGATCTATATCAGATTAGTCTTGATTTCTTAATAGGCTTTATTTTTTATTTTTCTTGTAAAAAGACAACCAAGCTAGTCTCAGGATGAAGTACTTCAAAGGAATCAATAAGATTCGAAAGGCAGAGGATATGTATTCCTTATTGGATGAATTTGGGATTGACTTCAAAGGAATCAATAAGATTCGAAATGGAGAGGGGCAGGCGTGCAAAAATTGTTGTCGGACCAAATATTAAGACTACGGTACCAAAAAATAAAATAAATTGACAGCAAAACGTTAAATTTTATAATTTTAATTGATGTTTTTATAATTTTTGTAGGTTATTTTATAACAAAAAAAATTTATCACTTTTATTAAGATTGATATCAAATATCACAAAAATAAAAATAAAAATAATTATCATAATAATTAAAAAAATAAATAACAATAATAAAAATATCCAGTGTTGTTTTGGGTTCCTCGGCAACTTCAATATTCATGGATTACGTATCAAAGATACCGAAATCCAACAAGACAACAGCTAACATTCCTCACCTACCATTTGACTTCAACGTGCGTACCTCACTTACCATTCTCACTTTGTCTTGATCTTCATTCATCATGGTCACCCACTTTCTCTCTCTCTCCCCCCCGCCCACTCCACCCAAACAAACAAAAACGTTGGTATTTGTCCGTAATATTATTATGCTGATTGCTTTCATCGCAGTATGAGTTATTAATCTAATGTTGAGACTAACTAATCTCTGACATCTGAAAACCTTCTGTTGTGTCAAGATTCATTATTGAGTTAGGAGAAGAGAAAAAGGAGGAAAGGGAGTTATTGTTCACCATCTGTTCGACCATTTGCACTAATGGCAGAAACTACCCGGACAGTTGCTGAAATGGGTAATGAAATAGTGAGAGAAATCGTGACCCAGGAGAAATCTGAACCTCCGAAGGAAATCCATGAAGGAAACAGTTCAAGAACCCATGTGGTTGGTTCAAAAAAATCGGAGAAAGACAAGGTGGTTGCGGATTCAGTGGCCGACAGAGAGCCTCCAGCTGAGTCTGTTGAGCATGTGGTTTCACTGTCTGAGTCAGTGGCTCAAGTTGCAAACGATCCAGTTGAGAAAATTGTGGGTCTGTCAGATGAGAATAACGAGGTTTCTACTGTTTTAAAGGATTTGGGGTCTACGGTAGAGGGATTTGAGGAAGCAACTTTGCCGATTTCAGATGAAAATGTTGGGGAAAAAGCTGGTAGTTTGTTGCGTCCTGCAGGTGTTCATGGTGATGACTCTGGTGATAGTGGTGAGAGTCATATGGTAACTGAAATTCCCAGAAGCACCGATGATCAGGTTGGTGAATTTGGTTGAAAACCTTCATAAGAATTAAGGGTTATAATATCGTTACACAGATATTTTTTGATACCGTTTTCACGTTAGCATGTGATGTGGAAAGTCATCTGTTTTATTAACTTTATAGTATTTCATCATTTTCACAGTTAATAACTAGAAATAAATAAAACTATCATCTATAGCGTTATCTAGGAATTAAAATTCGGTTTCTTTCTCTCTTTTTTTTTTTTTTTT